CCCAGCTGCTGTCACCGAGCCCGGGACCGCCAGTCATAGCCGCACCGCCTGATCCCCAAGAGCTGCTGCCACTGGCCGGCCCCAGTAGTTTGGGGACCGGGAGGAAGGGGAGGACGAAATGGTGACACCGCAGGCAGGGGATTCTGGCTAGGGACTGGGCACAGGGGCTGGGGAAGCGGTGCCCTAGGAACTGGGATCGAACCCCACCCAGCCGCTGCCTGTTGTCATGGAAACTGCATCCACAGGTAAAGTGGGCAGGCGCCCCAGCCCGCAAATGACGTCAGGGATCCGGGTCCCCAGACTGCCCCCTCCCTGCAGTGCACCTCTGCACCTTCCTCGCGCTCCCCACCTTGAGCACCAATCTGCCCCCAGCCCCCACGCACACCCCCACTTCACCACAGGCAACTATAAATGTTAACAGATCAGTTGAAAACCTGAATTTCATTTTCCCAAAGATTTGGAAGAAAACAAAATACTATTAATTCTTTTATTTAATGACTAGAGCCCAGCGCACACAAAATCATGCTCGATTAGGGTCCCTAGGCCTAGCCTGGCCTCTGCCACCCTGCGACGCTATGTGAAGTTCCCTGCCCCAGGACACTGCGCGATGCTCATGGCCCCTCGACTGCTCCACGAAACTCCCTCTGCCCTGCCACTGCTCTGTGAGGTTCCACCCACCCCTTGACTACTCTGCAAAGCTTGCTGCCACCCCACGAAGCTCCCCGCTGGACGCTCGGCAAAACTCCCCCCACCCTGTGACTGCTCTGCTAAGCTCGCTGCTGTCCCGGGAAGCAGCCTGCCACCACCACCGCCACTCAACAGTCCCCAATCCCACCTGCCGCCCCCACCCCCCATGGCGAGTGGCTCAGGGGCTTGGGGGTGGGGGGACTGAGAGGTGCTCCATGCACTTCATGGTGACTGGTCGTCCGTTCAGTTTTAATGGCACCTGGCTCTTTATGTATTAGGATCATTATTATTCTGGCTTCAGAGGCAAACTGCAGCACCTGGTGCTGGAGTGCCAAGTTTCTTCTTTCTGCCAAGGGTTGGGGCTGTTAAGGGCCTCTTGGCTGGTTGCAATGACTTTAGCGGGCGTGTTTGCACACAGCGTGCGCGTCAGTGACCAGGACACCGACAACAAAGCAATGGGCAGGCCCGCTGCCCCTAACCCGCCCTTACCCATTCCCTCCACAAATCGCCACACCCTACTCCCTCACAGTTCCCCACCCCCCATCCTCCAGTTCTCCCTCTCTCCACGCAGGGAACAGAAATCCCAGGGTGTGTGTCTAACTCAGGAGGGACAGCGTTGCCGGAGGGCTGGGGGTTGCCTGATGCAGGGAACACTGGTTCTTGCAGGGAGCATTGAAACTTGCAACCCCTTCAAGTGGCCGGCCTGGCTGTGGTGTTACAGGACTTGGGCGGTGAGTGGGCGAGGTTCAGCTCACCAGCAGTCTGGACTCGCCGGGCTTTCAAACCAGCTTCCCTTCGCCTGACTCCGCCGCTTTCAAACCAGAGCACTGGGTGCCCAGAGGGGACCAGAGGGTCTGAAGCGTCCTGGCCCAGGATTGCGGGAGGCACGTTCGGGGAGGAGCCGCCCGCCTGGTAGTGCTGTTTTTCTAGGGACTGGGGAAGAAGGTGCTGTGCTGTGTGCTCCCAGAAAGCTTTGTTGTGGTAGAATGGGAGCGTGTAGTTTCGGAAATGTAGCTTTCCAAGGCCTGGGGCGGTGGGCGCTCCCAGCGGAGGGGAAAGGCAGCGGGACTGGCCTTCATGCTCTTGGCAGCTGATTTAAGGGAACCCATTTCTTAAGCCACCGCCTCTTACTGGTCATGCGGCGTGGCCTTCGGCAGCTTTAACTCTGCTCCAGTACAAGATTTGAGCTGAGGGAAAGAGGTTTGGGGAATGCATTGAATAAAATGGCAACATTCTGAAGGGAAGAGAAAAAGCAACTATCTCACAAGCAAAAAATGAAAAGACAAGACTTAAATCTGAAAAACCCATTTGTCCTATGTTAATTATTATAGGAGAGGGTGGGGGTTGGGGATGAGGAGAGGATAAGACTAAGATGGCTGCCTAGCCTGTCTTTCAACTTCATCTAAGTGAAAACAAAACTCTTTATCATTGCACATTAAGATGGCAAAAGATAACAGGTAAATAAAGGAACCTTTCTTTGTTGGGTTACCATTACCATTCTTTGATAAGGGCAGCTCATGGTTCAGAACCTTTATCCACCATCATCAAAGTAAATTACTTCTTTATAGACACGGCCTACCTCCCATTAGTGTCACCAAGGTCGGGTGGATTAGGGAAAGGAAGCCAAGTGCCCAGTGTTCAGTAATACTATCCACTAAAATGAGTTGCTGTTTATACAATGTTTATAACAACTCTGGCTATCACAAAGCAGGCACTTGTAATTTTCAACATTATCATCATTATTGTAGAAATACTGTACTTTGTTAGCTGTCATAGGGGTTTCCTATCCTAGGCAACAAATCTATATCTGCACTAATAAAAGAGAAAGATGCAAATTGACCATACCTCCGTGACGCCCACCAGCCAATCAGTAGTCAGTGTGCAAATTAACCCAACAAAGATGGCGGGTTACTTTGCATACATAGGCGCCAAGTGGCCTGGGCCCCGGGGTCGGGTGCCACGCCCGCAGGCTCCCGGGACCATTGCGGCCCTGGGAGGTGAGGGTGGCCACACCAAGCCACACCCGCAGGCTCCTGGGACCTTCACCAGCTGGGAGGTGAGGGCGGCCGCGCAGCTTGATGGCAGACAGCAGGGCCTGCTTGGCTGTCGCTGCGGTGACCAGGGAGCAGGCAAGCGCAGCCCGTAGGCAGCTCCCAGCACAGTCTGCTTAGCCATCGCTGTGGCGACCCAGGGAGCAGGGAAGCGCGGCCTGCTTGGCTGTCGCTGCGGTGACCAGGGAGCAGGCAAGCGGGCCCGCAGGCAGCACCCAGGACGGCCTGGTTGGCCATCGCTGTGGTGTGGAGCAGGCAGGCACCGCAGAGAGCAGAGAACCACGGGGAGCGGGCCTAAGCCATCAGTAGGACACGCCCTGAGGGCTCCCGGATTGGAGAGGGTGCAGGTCAGGCTGAGGGACACCCCCCGCCACGTGCATGAATCTCATGCATCGGGCCACTGGTATATATATAAAAGCCTAATATGCCAAGTGCCCCCTCAGGAGTTCAACTGACCAGGAGTTTGATTGCTCGCTGTGATGTGCGTTGACCACCATGGGGCGGCGCAGAACTAAGGCAGGCCCCGGCCAGCAGCTGGAGAAAGGCCCTGATCAGCCATGATCGCCAGCCAGGCCTAGAGACCCTACCCGGGCACAAATTTCATGCACCGGGCCTCTAGTCTATCCTAATATATAAAAAGCCAGGGTCCGTAACATCCAAAACGACTGGAGGGACGACCAAACGCCAGGCTGTGTGCGCAGCAGGCTTGGGTGGGCGGGGACTTGTGGCAGCGGGGATGGGGGAAGGGGAGGCGAGGCCCTGTGGAGGGCAGCCTGTACTCCCCAGATGGCAGTGGCGGCTGTGAGCGCTCCTGATGGCCTGCAGACACTGCTTCAGCTCCGCCCGCAGGCTCCACTTGGTGCCATTCACAGCCGCCGCCATATGCTATGGTATAAAACACATTGTGTAAGTTAACAGAAGCATAGGCACCACCTCCATGCCACACCCCCACTTCCATCAGTCCCACCGGCCATGAGGCGCCCTCCCAAAGCTGTTTCCGGAGAGGCTAGTGGGAAGATCCCACCCTCGGAGCGCCTGCAGCGGCAGTGAGTTCTGGGTCGCTGTGGCGCCCGCAGTGGGAGGGGTCTGTGGGCCCCGCAGCGGGAGGGGGCTGTGGGTCCCGGCCGGCCAGGGTGCAGTGGAACTCTGGGTCTCCTGCAATTGGGTGCATGGCCGGCCTTCAAACCAGACCCTGACAGGAGGGAGGAGGACAGGGGAGGGCAGTTAGGGGTGATCAGGCAGGCAGGCAGATGGGTTGGGGCAATCAGGCAGGCAGACAGAGGCAGTTAGGGGCGATCAAGCTGGCAGGTGAGCGGTTAGGAGCCAGATTGCAAGAGGGATGTCCCAAAGGGTCCCCAATTGGAGAGGGTGCAGGCTGGGCTGAGGGAACCCCTGCCCCCATGCACGAATTTCGTGCACCAGGCTTCTAGTATATATATAGAAGCCTAATATGCTAAGTATCTGACCATTCAACCGGTAGCTATGATGCGCACTGACCTCCAGAGGGCAGACGCTCAACGCAGGAGCTGCCCGCTGGTGGTCAGTGCACTCCTACAGCAGGAGCGCCACTCAGCTGACCGACCTGGCAAGTGCAGCTGTGGCGGTGTGAGCCTCTCCCATCTGGACCAGGACTGGGACCAGAATTGGGACAGACCGGACGCGAGCCCACGGTCACTTCTCAGTCATGGGTGCACCGTTATCGCCCTAGGATGGGTGCGCAGAGACTGCAGCAGAGCGGCTGCAAGCCTACTGAGTGGCGGCGGTGGCAGACACAGCAGTAACGGGATGAGCAGGAATGGCGCAGCGCCCGGCCCCAGGCTTGGGCTCCTCCCCGGCTGCCTGTCACTTCGCGCACTACTACATCCCTTGGGGGATGGTGGACTGCCAGTTTCAGCCCGATCCCTGCAGGCCAGGCCGAGGGACCCCACTGGTGCATTTGTGCACCGGGCCTCTAGTTTATATATATAAAAGCCTAAGCAACAGTCTGACCGTTTGCCCGGTAGCTATGACATGCAATGACCACCAGGGGGCAGGTGCTCCGACCAGTAGAGGAGGGCTCCTGATTCCTCACGGAATTGGCGTGGGTTAGGTTGCTGCTGGGGTACTGTAGGCCCTGAATCTGCTTCACCCGCACCCTGGACCCATCAGGGGATGTCAGAGGCCTGGTGCACCGATTCGGCCTGGCCTGTGCCGTCTTGCAATCCAGGACTCCTCAGGCAATGTTGGAGAACTGGTTTTGGCCCAATCCCCACAGGCCAGGCCGAAGGACCCCATCAGTGCACGAATCCTTGCACCAGGTCTCTAGTAGGGATTATAAAATGCTGAAAGAAAAAAAAAATCTTGCCAACTGAATTATAAGGACGGTCTAGAGCAGCCGTGGGCAAACTACGGCCCGCGGGCTGGATCCAGCCCGTTTGAAATGAATAAAACTAAAAAAAAAAAGACCGTACCCTTTTATGTAATGATGTTTACTTTGAATTTATATTAGTTCACACAAACACTCCATCCATGCTTTTGTTCTGGCCCTCCAGTCCAGTTTAAGAACCCACTGTGGCCCTCGAGTCAAAAAGTTTGCCCACCCCTGGTCTAGAGAAAGCCTATGTGAACAGAAGTAGGTGGGCTCCTTGAGCCTAGAAAAAGGGAGTTCCTATGCCATAAATCATGAGGGCCCAGCATTGTCCCAGGAGAAGGGTTGATGGGATATAATGGGCCTATTCCTGCGGCAGAAAGGGGGTGGTCATAGCTCCCTGACCCAGGCCCATAATTTCCTTGGCTCTGATCCCAAGATCTCTAAGTAGACTCCAAATAACTGGCTTCCTATGAGATTTCCCAAAGGGACAGAATGTACTCACTAAAGGATGCCAGTATGCAGTCTAATTGGCAGGTGTGTTCTTGAATCAAGTTAATAAATTTGGCATCTGGTTTAAGAAATTAGTTTCTGTCAATTGTCCGGCCCAACTCCATTTTCAAAAATGGCAACTAAAAGGGATTTCTGAAAGCTGCAGAGTGGAGGGAGGCAGGCGGGACCATGCTGACTCCACTATGGCAGTGACCCTGAACTTCTGAACATACAGTTGGCCTGGGTTAACACCACACTCTGGCCTGAGCTAAACTCAAGGATATGAGGAGACCAAGCCTCAGGAGTACCTCTGAGAGGATGAGATAAAAAGGATTACTGGTATCAGGCACTGCAGAAGTGATTTCCTAATAGTGCAGTTCAGTTCCTTCAAATTATGTGGCTGCTTTTGCATTATGGTGCCACCTCTTGGATGTAAATTGAAAATCTAGATTTTACATTTTGTAGTCTCTAGGCACGTTTTAAAAAATAATCTGGCCCTAGCCTGTTTGGCTCAGTGGAGAGAGTGCCGGCCTGTGGACTGAAGGGTCCGAGGTTTGATTCCCGTCAAGAGCACATTCCCGGGTTTCGGGCTCGGTCCCTAGTGGGGGGCATGCAGGAGGCAGCAGATCAATGAGTCTCTCTCATTGATACTTCTATCTCTCTCTCCCTCTCCTTTCCTTTCTGAAATCAATTTTTTAAAAAAATCTGAAGTGGGAGCCATGGTAGATTCCAAAATGTATATTCTGCATTATAGTTAAAGGAACTACTTAACCCAATCCCTGAATTTGTAAGGGGGGGGGGGGGGGGGGGGGGGGGGAGCCCACAGCCCAGAAAAGAACTGCCTCCAAAGTTGTGAGTTTTTAACTGTCTGGAATTTTGAATGCAAAGGTGTCACTTACACGCTCTGGTTCTCTCTCCAACCCCTCGCTGGCGAAGGAGGAAAGGCCCACAGAATCAGGAGTCCAGGTTTTGCTTTCTCAGGCTCTGTCAATGGAGGCAAAACCATGTACATGCCTTAATTAAAAAGTACGTTATTGCTAAAAAATGCTAACCATCATCTGAGTCTTCAGGGAGTCGTAATCTTTTTGCTGGCGGAGAGTCTTGCTTCAATGTTAATAGCTGCTGACTGACCCGGGTGGTGGCGGCTGAAGACTGGGGTGGCTGTGGGAATTTCTTAAAATAAGACAATGAACTCTGCCTCATCGACTGACTCTTCCTTTCGTGGATGATTTTTCTGTAGCACGCAATGCTGTCTGATAGCATTCCACCCACAGTATAACTTCTTTCAAAATTGGAGTCGATCCTCTCAAACCCTGCTGCTGCCTCATCCACTAAGTTTATGTAATATTCTAAATCCCTTGTGGTCATTTCAACGATCTTCACGTCATCTTCGCCAGGAGCAGACTCCATCTCAAGAAACCACTTCCTCTGCTCATCCATAAGCAGCAGCTCCTCATCCGTTAAAGAGCTATCGTGAGACTGCAGCCATTCGGTCACATCTTCAGGCCCCACTTCTAATTCCAGTTCTCTTGCTATTTCCACCACATCTGCAGTCACTTCCTCCAATGAAACCTTGAACTCCTCAAACTCATCCGTGAGGGTTGGAATCAACTTCTTCCAAACTCCTGTTATGGTTGATGTTTTGACCTCATCCCACGAATCGCGGATGTTCTTAATGGCATCTAGAATGGTGAACCTTTTCCAGAAGGTTTTCAATTTACTTTGCCCAGATCCATCAGAGGAGTCACTATCTGTGGCAGCTATAGCCTTACAAAATATGTTTCTTAAATAATAAGACTTGAAAGTTGAAATTACTCCTTGACCCAGGGGCTGCAGAGTGGATGCTGTGTTAGCAGGTATGAAAATAACATTAATCTCATTGTACAACTCCTTCAGAGCTCTTGGGTGAACAGGTGTATTGTCAATAAGCAGTAATATTTTGAAAGGGATCTTTTTTTCTGAGCAGTAGGTCTCGACAGCGGGCTTAAAATATTCAGTAAACCATGATGTAAACAAATGTGCTGTCATCCAGGCTTTGTTGTTCCATTTATAGAGCACAGGCAGAGTAGCTTTAGCATAATTCTTAAGGGCGGTAGGATTTTCAGAATAATACACGAGCATTGGCTTCAACTTAAAGTCACCAGCTGCATTAGCCCCTAACAAGAGGGTCAGCCTGTCCTTTGAAGCTTTGAAGCCAGGCATTGCCTTCTCCTCTCTGGCTATGAAAGTTCTAGATGGCATCTTCTTCCAATATAAGGCTGTTTCCTCTACATTGAAAATCTGTTGTGTGGTGTAGCCACCTTCATTAATTATTTTGGCCAGATCTTCTGGGTCACTTGCTGCAGCTTCCACGTCGGCACCTGCGGCTTCACCTTGCACTTTTATGTCACAGAGTCGGCATCTTTCCTTAAACCTCATGAACCAACCTCTGCTGGCCTCAAACTTTTCTTCTGCAGCTTCCTCACCTCTCTCGGCCTTTATAGAATTGAAAAGCATTAAGGCCTTGGCCTGGATTAGACTCTGGCTTAAGGGAATGTTGTGGCTGGTTTGATCTTTTATCCAGACCACTAACACTTTCTCCATGTCAGCAATCAGGCTGTTTTGCTTTCTTATCACTCGTGTGTTCATTGGAGTAGCACTTTTCATTTCCTTCAAGAACTTTTCCTTTGCATTCACAACTTGGCTAACTGTTTGTCGCAAGAGGCCTAGCTTTCGGCCTATCTCAGCTTTTGACATGCCTTCCTCACTAAGTTTAATCATTTCTAGCTTTTGATTTAAAGTGAGAGACGTACGACTCTTCCTTTCACTTGAACACCTAAAGGCCATTGTAGGGTTATAAATTCGCCTAAATTCACTATTGTTGTATCTCGGAATAGGGAGGCCTGAGGAAAGGGAGAGAGATAAGGGAACAGCTGGTGGGTAGTCAGAACACATACATTTATCAAGTTCACCATCTTATATGAGTGTGGTTTGTGGTGCCACAAAACAATTACAATAGTATTATCAAAGATCACTGTTCACAGATCACCATAACAAATATAATAATAATGAAAACGTTTGAAATATTGAGAGAATTGCCAAAATGTGTCACAAAGACACAAAGTGAGCAAATGCTGTTGGAAGAGTGGTACGGACAGACTTGCTCAACACAAGAGTGGTCATAAGCCTGCAATTTGTAAAAAACCCTGTATCTGTGAAGTGCAATAAAACGAGGTATGCCTGTACAAGTCTTGGTTATTCTTTCTTACTTTTTCATAAAATGCTCAAGGGTTTCAAAAAGATGCAGAAAACATTTTTGCATAAAGATAAGCGTTTTATGATATAGAGTACAAAATATATTGGCAAGCTTTCCTGTCACTTGTAAACTGGGTTAGAAGGCAATCCCTAGAATTCCAGAAGTGTTGCGGAAATATTATCATTTTAATTTACAATCAGGATAGTGTATTCAAGTGGGAGTCAAGGGATCTGGGTTCTAGTTGTCATTCTGCACATTGTGATCCTATCTCTCAACTCCGGGATATCAGAAGCACCATCACAAAAAGAAAGGGGCTGAATCAGGCCATCTTGAATAGCCTACCCAGCTCTGTTATTCTGCAATGCCATGAAATCAGAGCAACATGTTCCAAGCCATCTGGGGTCAGGGATCTTAGAACCTATATTCTATGTGCAGTACCTTTAAAATTTCTACTTCTTTTTGGAGACCTGTTCTTATTTAAATACATTTATTTTACATGTTCTTCTGTGCATTTAACTGCATTTTCCTATTTAGCAGCCTCTTCATCATTAGCAATAAAAAAAGTTTCTCAAGGACATATTTTTTTCTTTCTTACTTTTATTTTTTTTTCAACTTGCTTTTCCAATTTCTCCAAGACCTCCTCTGGAGTTGTGGAGGCCAAAAGCTTCACCACTTTTTCACGAGATTTACTGCCCTGGATTAAAAGGAAAAGACAGTGTGAGGATAACATACTAAACTTTCTAACACTATTAGAAAGAGACCTCAGTTGTATGCATTGCGGACATATCCTTGTGGGGTTCTTACAGGTGACCTGCAACTTTCCTGACGACTTCACTGCCACTTTCTCCTGGCCATTGTGATCTAACCAAAGACTATCTCTTAGATTCCACCTTACTATAAATTT